AAACCAAAAACAAGGATAACTTGTATAAAGGAGTATAAGACCTATTTTCTTTGAAAAAGGATTAATAGCTGAGTATTTTATCAGAACAATTAGCTATTCAAATTGGAATTTTGTCCCTTTTATGCTGAAAAAAAAGCCAAACCCCTGAGTTTTCTTAAGATGTATCCTTCCCAAACCTGATCTCCTTGAAGGTATTGCCGTGCCAGTAATACCTCAAGGTGAAAGTGTTAAGCTGAGAAATATTTTACAACAGGCATTCATCCCTCTAGTTACTGGTTCCAACACTAATGTGAAAAAAGTACTTGTCCCTTTTATGAGTGCAGCGTGGATGTTTTAGTGGGATGGTTATTTCTGACAACAGCCCTTCTATAACAAAGCCGTGCTCTTGTTACAGAACAAAAGAGCCAACCAATGGAATAATGATGTACCAATTCTAACTAATGTAGGAATCCATTTGTTTATAAATACCTGACTTCAGTTGGTCTGCATAACAGGTGCAGAAAGATGCAAGTCTTGTTAAGGGTTGACGAGAAAAATAACTCTTATAAAACTCTTATTAAAAATAACTTGAGGAATTTAATACCTCTTTTAGGTTACTATTGTGTAGCTCTAGCAATATTTTTTGGGGAGTGCTGCAAATTGTAAAAGGCAAAACCAAAGCAACTCCAGCGCTGTTCTCAAAGCAAAAACCAAAGTGCAGGGAAGGATGCTTTGAAAACTGTGCTTTGAACACCACGCCTGGAACAACCTTGAAAACAACCTTTTTACAACATTCCTGTCTAGTGACTAGCTCTTCTTAAATTTCTTAAACCAAAACATGGAAGTTTTTTAGATGGTCACTGTTTTTTCTGAGGCTGCCGCTATTTGTCTGTAAGTTACTTTAATTGTATGGCTGGTTCATTTCACAGCATTTTGCAGAGAAAATGAAAACAAAAGGCAGATTTTTCACCTTCCTAACCTTACCAGGTAGACTGGAAATCAGTAGTCTCACGGGTATTGTGTTTTACTGAAAGCTGTAGCTTACATTGACAGGACTGCTTACTCACAGAAATGTCACTTCTGTTTTACAGCTTGAGTGTTTAAGGATTTTATGCCACTCTGTTTTCTGTGGGTTAGGGTGAGTGGGCTTCACTGATCTTTTCACTGTGGGGAGTGAGAACTAGTGCAGATAGTTCTCTCTGGGCGAGAGCCACAGCTCTTAGAAGAAAACCAGCAAGGAAAAACTTCCAGCTTGTGGTGTTTTCTGTATCAAGCTGCAGGTATTTTGTTGTTTATAAACTTTCATGTTTGGGACAGGAGCGGAATTTAGAAATTCGGGTGTTGTTTCCCATTCTTACAGACAACTGGAAAATTGAGAGTTTTAAGGCTTCAAAGATGGCAGAAGCAGATCTCTGCCAAAGTGGAACCATGGTGAGGTTCGGACGGGAAGAGCCTCCCTCATGCAATACCTTGCACAAATTTAACCATGTTGGGTTGCATCTAATTAACTCTTCTAATTTTCCTGTACAGACGGAGCCTGACAAACACGAGTGAGCAACTCAGTGGCTCCTAACTGACGAATAAAAGGATGCGTCTGTATCTGTATTCCCTAAATGGGGGAAAAAGTAACTTTTATTTATGCTTCATAGCAACGTCAGGAGAACAAAACTGAATTCTTTTTCCTTTGAAGGTTCCTTTGAACACTGATGAATCAATAAACATTAATGTTAACCTCTCATGTTACCTCTGTAGCGCCATTAAGCACAAAGTACTGGCAGCTCTGCAGAACTCAGGACACCTGCCATTTTCCTCCACTGTATGAGCGTTTCATGAAAAACACTGCAGCTGAGGGAGCAGTAATGCCATGTATATAATTAATTTTAAAATCAATGCAGCAGAAATGGGGCTTTATCTGCTGGGGTTTTTTTTCAAAAAATAATTTTTTAGGATAGAGCTTTAATTTCAAATAGTTCATTATGAGATGACCTATTCCATTTATAGTATCATAAAAACATTTGGAAAACATACTCTGTATGTGGCATTTGTAGGGAGCAGTTGCTACCCAGTTAATAATGCTGACATATGTTGTTCCCCATGATTTCTCTGCCATAAAAAGATTTCCCAGTAATTCTACCTGGTGTATGTAGATGCTGATCCAGCAGCGTCTCCTGAAATCAGAGGCAAAACCCAAATGGAACCATCTAGTTGATGGCCTCCACCACGTCTCCAACGGCATTTAACAGCTCTTAAAACGTCCCTAACTTCACTGGCGGAGCTCACTCAGTTCTGGATGCTTAATGTGCAAACTCAGGTGGTTGGTTGTTGTTTTCTTTTCACACAGCAAACGCTTCTTGTTTGCATTTGTGCAGAGACTGGAGTTTACAATCTGTAAATGACCAGGAGTCAGTCAGTGGATGAACAGTCCATCTCTAAAACAAAACAGCACAGCACAACACAACCAGCAACACTGTTGTGACTGGTGCCAGTGGCTCTGGAGGGCTGAGGAAGTAAACCCTCGAATGCAGGTAAGGCAGATGTCCCCACGGGGTGCAGGTCGGCGTAGGCCACCCCAGCACCTCCCAGGCTGGCAGAGCCGTGCTGGGAGGAGGGTGGGGAACACCATGCCTTTCAAGACATCTTTGGTGGGGAAGAATTGATTTTGACAACTGCAACATGCATTTGCATCTTTGTTTATTCCAGCCAACTTGAGAGCTTGGCCAGAGACCTGATGCTGTGATCATCTGCCTTTAGCAGTCCTCACCAGAGATCAGAGGGGTTCTGTCACCAAATTATTCTGAGATCTAGACTTCTAGTTTCAGATCAGCACTTGGCATACAACTCTGTTCTGCAGAGATGTAAACCACACTTCTTTACTTTCTAGATCTGAGATGTTCACTTCTTCAGAACATGTGCGCTGTGAACTTTTGGACATTTTTGTATTTTTACATAAAAAAGTATATGCAGAGTCTGTATTTTTACCATCCACTTTGTCTCATACTAGAGGCAAAGCTCAATAACATTACAGTTATTTGCTAGGCAATGTGTCAGACTGGGTCAGGTTTGACTGAGGCTGCAAGATGGGAGATAGTACCCACTGTTTTATTTTCAGAAAATATCTTGTTTCAACACACAGAAATTCACATTATACAGACATATTTCGGTACAGTTAATTTCTTGGAATTATGACAGAACACACTCAGTATTTCTCAGTCTTCAGAAGATGAGTTATAAAATACCAAATACAGTATGAAGAAATCAAGTATCCACAGACTATGCACCAAGACAAGGCAGAGGTTTGGAATCACAGAACACTGAATGGGAAAGAAAAACAGATTTTGGAGATAGTTAAAAATCTGCAATAGCTTGGAGGCAACAGTGTTTCTCAGGTAAAAAACTGAGTCCTCTGCTTCAATGGGCAAAAGGAGGACTTCCATCTCCCAGGTGAATACTGTAGCTGTTGGGGGTTGTCAGAGCAGGAGGACAGAGCCCTTCCGTGCTCCCAAGTGTGTGTGTGAAGTGTCCTTGCTCATCAAGGCATCTGGATGTGCCCCACCATCTGTACCATGCCTTGAAAAGAAACCCCGGCCTGTGTCTGGGAGAGAGAGCTCCTGCATGGTGTGGCCATCTCCTCCCTTACGGGGGAGTCTGCAGCTGCTGGGTCTAGCAGAAAGCAGCAGACCAGAGTTTAGGTAAATTAGCTTTGTGACTTGGCCCCCAGGCACCACATGCACAGCCTGAGCCCTCCAGTGCTCCGTGGATCACACCAACTCCCAGTGGGCAGCAAGGCCTCCAAAGCAGGGTCCCAGCCTTCAGCTGCAGGTGTCACACAGCCCTGCAAGGGTGACATCACTGACTCTGCAGGTTGGCTTCTCACGCAGTAAAGCCACTGAAGCCAGAAGGTGGTCCTGATGTCCATTTGCCACTGCCCACCCCTTGCACAATGTCTGGTTGTGTCTGGGATTTCTGGGAATTGCACAGCGTGGACAGAGTCACTCTGGTGTCCAGCATCACAGTCAGATGTTTCCAGTTCCCAGATTCCACATATGGCACCTTTCTGGGTGCAGAGAGAGTACATGTTCAGGGAAACCTAGGAGGGATAGTACTTCCAGCCTGAAATGGGAACTGCTGTGATCACAACCTGTGGGTCCAGCTTGTCATGGGTAAGATTTCAGTGCAGAAGCTGAAAACAGTAAGAAAACAGCATGACAGGTACTCCTTGGTTTGCAGAAAGCAGCAGCATCAGCTAAGTTCATCTTTTCATTTAGTCTCTAACCTATTTAACTCATTCCAAGGCAGAGAGCTCAACATCACAGACTTGGTATCTTTTGTGATACGTAACATTACAATGAAGTAGTGCAGTTAATTTGTACATACCATAAGGATTTTGCAACCCTTTATTCCCCTGTTAAAAATTCACTAATTGCTTGATCTGGTCAGTCTGTAATGACTGCCTCCTTAGTAGCATTTTTGTACCTTTGGTCTCCCTAGGGAAGGAAGGCGCTGCTGGTACTAAGTGTTTGTGTCCAGCAGAAATCATCCCAGAAACCCTGTTCATGAAAGTAGTATCTGGAATTTGGGGGTGAGAATTCACATTCAGTGGTGGAAGAAAACCTGGTCTTGTCTGAGCAGGGTGATCCAACAACAAGGCTCCTGAACCCTGTCTTTCTAAAAAAGGTTGATTTCTCCCACTCAGAGTAACAGGAGGCATGTTCTCCAGTACTTCTTTAGAACTTGGTAATGAAGAGTGAGATGGGGAAAGAATCTTTTTCTTTCCTATCATTGGCTTACTCTCTTCTGCAGCAGCAGGACTTAAACTAGTAGTTAACTGAGAATCAGAGCTGTAGTGGTTTGCTCCTAAATTTCTTCTCTGGATAATACTTCTGAGGTTTGAAATAAAGCTGTTTTGTCCTGAACTGGTACCCTTACCCACAGGAATCCCACTGGGGCTATGTTTCTCTTCAGCATAAAAGGTCCGAGAGTTTAGCTCATCATATGATAACTTCCTTGATCCAGTCTGATCAAAAGTTTTCAATAAATGAGCAGAGTCTTTTATGTCAATACTCTGGTGCCTGGTGATGAATCTCTTTGATAAGGCAAGGCCGTTGACTTTAAAAGACAGCTCTTCTTCTGGAGTAATATCCTGAAGTTCTTCTTGTACAGAGGCAATTTTGTTCTGGTGGAGCAGTGATGGAGAGCTCCTCATGCGGGACTCAGACTGCAGCCGCTGCACTGCTGCCAGCTTGGACCCTACTTTTGTTGAGCTGGATTTTCTTGTCAGGGAAACTGTCTGAGATGAGTTGTCCACACTTCGTGGATGATCCAGCTCTTTAAAGCTGAACAGCGCTTTTCCAGTTTCATTTGAACTTGAAAGGGGGGATGGAGAGGTTTCCAGTTCTACTTCTGAGGGGGAAGTGCAAGCAGCTGGGGAGTGGCACTCCCCGAGGTCTGCAGGAGGCACGTTCAGGTACTGCTTTGTTTTCTGCCTCCCTGAGGGGGACTTGTCCGTTGTGATGATGATGACTTCTTTCCCTCGTGCCCTGCAGGCATTAAGAAGAACTCTGAGGGTCTCTTTGTCTTCAGAGTGTATTGCATACACAAGAGCAGAACAATTGGAGTGATCCTGCAGGCTTGGGTCAGCTCCACTTTTCAGGAGCAGAGATACCACCTCAGGGCCTGCTTTTTCCACACACGCATGCATCAAGGCTGTCTTCCCAGATTTGTCCTGTATGTTTGGGTCAGCCTTGTTCTCCAGCAGGTATTTAACCATCTTTTCCTTGCTGACGCTCTGGGAGTCCACATGTTTCGTCCTGCAGGCGATCATCAGCGGGGTCTCACCCCTGTCGTTGCTCTCGTTGACGTAGGCCCCACCCTCCAGCAGCAGCCTGGTGAGGCGCAGGCGGCTCTGGTAGACGGCTCTGATCAGGGAGTTCCCCTCCGCCGGTGCGGCCATCGCCGCCTCTCACTCAGACCTCCCTGGAGGCTGCAGAGAACACCTGGATCTCAGGCACGGCAAAGACGCCTCCAGAGAGAAAAAAATATTTAACTGTACCAACTGCTCCTGTAAATACCCCTGTATTTTGTGAAAAGTGTATGGAGACTGGGGGGGGGCGGAGCAGTGTACTCCCACCTCCTACACTTCAAGAAATGCGTAACAACTTAAAACGCAACATTTGGGTATCATGACAAGATTTATAGATGCTTAACACACAGCTGCCATCCTCTTTTTATTTTTTTGACTGTTCTCACTTTTGTCACATCCTGCCGAATGAGCTGGGGAAAAAGTTTAATTCTCCACACTTTAATGGCTTTATACTGACCACAACCAAGTGGTTCAGCTACAGTCGTACCACTCCCGACTTTCCTCAGCACGTGAACTGAATGAATCCTGCAGCATTTACCTTCCTTGATGAGAGACAGGGGCACATTTGCTTTTTCTTATACAATGACAATGCTAAACATCTAGAAAATAATGAGAAAAAGAAAGTTCATTTGTTTTAATAAATAAGAAATGCAATCGTAGTAAAATATTTCTTATCTAAGAAGAAACTGTTAAATAAATGGAACATAAACATGAATGTATTTGATAAAAGTAATGACATTTTTAGAAGTATACCATGTTCGTTATGCTCCTTTGGAAACACACCACTGAGTGAAACAGCATGAATGGAGTGATGCAGTCTGTCCCACTCGTCGCAGAGATCAGCAGCTGAGAGGAGTCCTGTGTTAGCAGCCCACACAGTATGAGCTCTAAAACAAAAGAAGATTTGATAGTATCAAAGAAAGTCTGGAGGGCTCACACAGAAAAATTAAGGTCTTAATGTGGTATAAATCACAAAAGGTCTTGTTGGGTTGGATGTAGACCTGCATATGTACAGCTAAAATTATTTAATTGCTTTTATTTATGTCTTCTATATGCTCACTTACCCATGTGTAGAGAAAATCTTGAGAGGAAAAAAAATAAAATCAATATTTAAAAGTTGGCAGAGCAATATAATTCCAAGACTAGACATGGCTAGAAAAATTACATTTGTTCATTTGCAGTACCTTTCTGGAGAAATAAAAAAGCTTCATTACTTTTAACTGCAAAGGAAATTAACAGACTCATTTTTATTTACCATTGGAAGCACCAGTAATGTTCTGGTGAATAACTGGAGAGCAGCAATATTGTTCTGTGTTTCTTTGATATTGGAGTTTTAATTTGAATTCCAAAATAAACGGATGCTATCAATGTCGTCTGTTCCAAAAGTCCAATAAAGTCAGTTGAAAAACACATGATATTTTTATCACAGATAAAAACAGACGGATGTCATCTGTCCCCCTGTTTATTTCTCATCATGCCCTGTAGCTACAGGTGCTTTTGCTAAGCAGAGACATTCAGTGGCTTATAGGTCACAATGAGAACAGATCTCTAGGGGCCTTCAGACTTGAAATGTGTTAATAAATATTTTGTTGTTATTCAGCATTGTCGTTGTTTGGTGACATGCTGTAATAATGGTCACACAGAGCATGTGTCTGGGTAAGATACCTCACAATATTTAGTATATCGGGGGAAGAAAAAAAAACAGGGCAAGACAAATGCATGAGATGAACCAGTTCCCCTTTGTTAGCACTTATTTCTGGGCTAACACCCCTCTGTTCTCAGCAGCTGAGGAGGATGAAAGTGGGCCAGAACTTCTCTGCCCATGCCCATAAGAGTAAACATCCCACTTCCGATGGCTGCTGAGAACAGAAGCACCACCATGGTACTATCATCTTATTTGGACCAGTTGCTGGGGGTTGTTGGGTCTCCTCTCTGTTTCAATAAAATGTTTTTTAAAAGTAATTGCACTGCAATTACTTGAAGGATTCATTCCATTATGCTGAGAGTACGTGATTCAGTAGTGTCTATCTCAGCTTTCATTGATGTGCAAATCATTATTATGAAATGTGTATTTTTGACATCTAATATATTCAAGATTATTATCAACTCCTTTATAAAAGGACCCAATTAATTTTTGCACTGAGGTTTCCAGACACAGTCTAAAGAGAAGTACCTTTTAGATAGCACACATGCTGGAGTCCTGATTCTGTTCTCCTGATTCTGTTGTTTTTGACCTACCTGTAAGTCACTGGGGATTTTACATTTCTTTCATATTTATCTAAAGCTCTTCTGACACTTAACTGCTTGCTTTACCTAAGTGGTGTCATACAACACTTCTTACACAAGTCCATCCATCTGCAGAAATACCTTTTATGGCCAGAAGAACATTAAACAGGCACAGAAAGAGAATAATGGTGCTTGAAGACATGCAGCAGCTCAACTCTAAACATGAGACTGGTTTTTTGACATCTGATCTGTTGCCTCCAGGTCTTCAGTTCACTGTCTCCATGAACTTTACCAGGACTGTTAATGTGAGTGAGGGCAGAGGAAGCTGAGACTAAGCCAACAGTTATAATTTTTACATTTTAATAGGTTGTGTTGCCAGGATGTGGTATGAACCTGCCCCGGAGAATGCCCAAGATGTCTCTGTGCAGGCAGGTCAGCAGTTCCAGTGTGCCCGAGATCTTACCAGGGCCTGTAGGGACTAGCCACTGCACCCGGGGTGGGACCGTGGGGCCTGCCAAGCAGGGTGGCTGGTCCCTGGCAGGAGGAGCACAGTGCCAGTCCTGCTAAGAGCCAGCCACGTTATTTACAGGCTGATCTACCCTTTGCACTGCAAAGGAGAAGGGGGCAGCACAGGGGCAAAGGAAAGTGGAGAACTAAATATACAATGGGGAATAAAAATACAGAAACTCTTCAGAATCAGATATTGTATGATTAACAGGAAGATCTGCAACTGGAACAATATGATGTGGAATACATTCCTGAATGCTGGCTGAAGATAACCCCGATTTCATCTGGAGAATCTGTCAGTTACAGGGGAATGTGCCTGGGGCTGCACCACCCTAAAACTGCCACTGTAGGAACGAAGTGCAGCTGGACATTTGTGAGACCCACTCTGACAGTGGCTCAGTGGAAATACACCCGCCATGCTTGGACTAGGTACCACCTGCTCCAAAAAAAACCCCACAGCTAGCTGTTTTGAAGTGAAAGACCACAGTTTAAGCACATTCCCTAAAAGAGTGATTTATCTGGTATTTCATCACAGGCTGACGCTGAACAGATTGGGATTACAAAACATTCCTAAATCTGATTCACTGCCATGTCAGAACTGATGCATGCCTTACTGAGATGTCAGGACTGACACAGCTGTTTTTCAGCTGTGGAGGTAAACTTGTGCCAAGAGAGCAGTTTAAGAAATGAGGAACTACACAACCTACTGTGTGACAGTGAATCATGAACTGGTCTTCAGATTATCCACAAATCTCTGGTGTTGCTCTACAAATAATATTCCTGCCACACTCTGTCTAGGAAGAGTTTAATTTTGTTTTCAACAAGCAATCCTGGCAACTGCTCTGAGGTAAGCAGCACAAAGGACCTCATACCCAAGATGATTTGCTTCCAAGAAATAGCCACTGTTCTGGATTTGTGCTGGCTCCTATCCTGAGGTCAGGCTGGCAAACCTAAGACTGGTAACCTAGAGTCCTGTTTGGATACAGGTTCAGTGGGAAAAGCCAATACAACTTAAAAGTTTTAGCAGTTGGAACTTCCATCAACCCTTGCTTTCTGATTCATAGGGAACATTAAATTACTAGGAAAAACTCTCACAGTGTTTTGTTACATCTAGCAGTGTAAACAGTCACAAAACTGAGGGGAGGAAAAGCTCAGTGATGCCATAATGTATAAACAAATATAAACCTAATCAACATTTTCATTAAGGAGTGCTATGAATAAATGTTCCTGCAGAAGTTATTCCTTGCTTTCTCGATGTGAAAGCCCAATCTTCTGCCCTTTGTGCCTCAGCACTCTCCAAGCTGCACAAGCAAGCTTTCACAGAAGTGTTTAAAGAGTCTAGAATCATTCCAGTAAAATCAAGTCATCAGTTCTCATCTCTGAAAAAAAAATATGTGCTTATACTCTTAAAGAGCATAAGCCTTTAAGTATTTTTGTGATTCTCCATGCTCACCCTGTAAATTCTGTCAGTATAACAAGAAGTAAAATTTCCTACACTGTCATAAACACGCTGCAATTTACCACGAGCATAACTTTTGATTTAAAAATTACCACTCTAACAGAGCCAAAACTACTCCACACACAGCCCTTCTCCACCCCCACACCACAGCAAAGTTGCCAGAATCATGTCCAGTTTTGGAAACCTAGCCTGTAAAGTGCAACTCTCCCTAGTGAAGCATCTGTCTCTTCAGCCTTGCCGTTTTCCAGGGTTAACTGCAGAATGTTCAGAATCTGAACGTTTCTCACCCACCGGGTTTGTACTTCTGAAGAAGGTCTGGAAAAGTCCAGTCAGCTCATTAAGTACCTTTTCCCTGTCAGAGTATTTATCACCTTTCCGAGTATTTTCTCATTTGGAGGTGTTTCCTTTGGTAATAATTACTGCCAGAGTGTGTTTGGAGCATGCTGGGGAGCTCTAAGGAGAGGAAAGTTTCCACTGGGACTCTACATTAAGGTCAATGTTGTTGCTCACTCCTGTTTCACAGCATCCTGACTTGTTATCTAACAGCTCTATAAAGTTTTTCCTGGGGGAGATGTGGAAAAAACAGGGATAGGCAACTTCTCTACAGAGAACACAGCTAAAATTACAAACGCAGGCTGGAAGAGTAAACATGTTACAGGCTTCTCCCTCAAAAACTCACCAAGAACGATGGGATCGGCGTTTGGACTGGGAA